AAAGCCTAAAGGCTACATTAACTCGAGTTCGAGCAAACACTCACTCGACCATTAAGCCTAAGGATTACTCTTACTTCGAGTTTGAGCAAACACTCACTCGACCATAAAGCCTAAGGGCTACATTAACTCGAGTTCGAGCAAACAGTCACTCGACCATAAAAGCCTAAGGGTCATTTTTCACTTCAAGTCCAAGAAATCATTCTCACTCAACCACAAAATCCAAGGGCCACATTAATTCAAGTTCGAACTATTGCCCCAAATCGGGGACTACGTGTCAAGCTTAAAAAAGGCTACTCTGCTTCAAGTTTGAGCAAATCATTTCATTTGACATCTATCTATCAAGCCTAAGGGCCACCTCAGTTCGAGTTCGAAAATTCACTGAGGAACTACCTATAAGAAACGGTCGAATGCAGTACTTACTATCGGTCCTTACTATCTCAATCTTGGACCTCCGAATAATTATTCAATGCTAAGGCACTTTTGACCTTTGTACAAGTTAACAAAAGGCGAAAGATTCAGAAGCTATGAAAGGAATAAAGTTTTTATATTCATGTCAAAATCATTTACAAGGGCAAGACGGCCCGATCAAATTTCTTTACAAAAGATCAAAATGGTCTTATAAGAAACATAAAAAATATTTAAAAACTTTTAGTCCTCTCCGGGAGCAGTATCTTCGCCCTCGAGGCCCCCTTCACTTTCAGATCCGCTCGCACTCCCGGTATCATCATCATCGGGGAAGGCCAACACTCTGGCTTCGGCTTCAAGCTCCATAGCTTTCTCGATCTCGACTGTTAAATCGAAGCCACGAGCATGAATCTCTTCAAGAGTCTCTCTTCGAGACTGATATTTAGCATGATTGGCAACCCAGTTTGCCCGAGCCTGAGCAGCCTCAGCAACCCCCTTTGCTCGAATTTGAGCAGCTTCGGCATCAGATCGATAAACGACCACCATTGCATCAGCATTGGCCGTGGTTTGCTCGACCTCCGTTTTTGCCGCCGCAAGTTCTATGGCCAATCTCTCTCGATCAGAATTTGCTGAGCTCAATTGAGACTGGAATTCCTCTATTTTCTTGGCTTGCACCAAGGGTTTCTCTTTTAAGCTTTGGAGTTGGGCCTCAGCCGAAGACAGTTGAGTTCAGGAAGTCTCCTTCTCTGAGGCGAGGCGGTCCATGTTCTTCTTCCACTCCTCGGCCTCTGATTTCACTACATCCACTTCAGCACAAAGCTATCTAATCACATCAAACTTTTGCTCAACCTGCGGGACCGAATTATTAGCCATCAATCCCGATTCAATATCATTAAATTCAAAAATTCTTTGTACCTGCTCGGACAACTCAGCTTGTTCTTTCCTAGATGCTTCCATCTCGCCCCGAAGTCCTTTTACTTCTCCTTCTCTCTGCTCACTGAGAATCTTTAAGGCATCTCTCTCCTCGGTAAGCCTTCGAACTTCAGCCTCGTACCGGCTCAGCTCCACTCGGGATTGGAAAAATGCCTCGCGATGAAGCATAGAAGCCTACAAAAATAATAAGGGATTATACAAGGAAAGAAAAACACAAGTATAAAAATTGGCAAAGGAAGTATGAACTTACCCGATTCAAGGCATGTTGGGCTTTGTTAAATAGGTAAGGCGCTCCCACCTCACTCGAGCTCTTCTTCGGAGCCTCCAAGTCACTCGGACCGGTAACATCTTCTACCCCGATAAAATAACCACGGAAAGGATCCTTCCCCCCGTGGGCCCCTTCCCCGTGACAAGTCTCCACAGCTTGAGCGTCATGTATCATCGATTGGGAAAAGGAAGGGGAAAAGGAAGGGAATCCTCGATATCTATCACCCCAAGTAGGTCTTTTGGGGCACTGCCTCCATCTTCAAGAGCCCCAAGCTCAGTTTGTGCTCCAGCATTCACCGCCCCTTCGACGGTCTCTTTACCCCGAGGTAAAACATCATCGGTATCCCTCAGCTCGGGAACTTGGGTCGAAGTCCCCTCCTCGACCTCATCAAGCCTGGTCGGAGTAGTATCAACTCTCACCAATACCGAAGTATTTTGAGTATCGGTACTAGCCCGGGCACGGGCCAACAGCCCGGAATCACTTTCTTCTTCTTCTTCATCCCTTAGACTCAGGACAGACGCCATGGTCAAAGGGATTACATTCACCTTGGGTTTACGAGCCGCTCTCTTTTTTGGTTTTTGACCCTCGGAGTCCAAGGCCATTTTTCTCTTAATAGCCTTCTCCGGTTTTGAGGTAGGTTGTAAAACTTCTTCATCACCTGATGGGGGTCTCATAACCACATCTTTTCCGAGACCTACGAAGAAAGAAAAGTAAGTAAAACTTATGCTTGAAAAAAATACTTGAACAATAAGCAAATCGGTGAGTCAAGAAGAAGGTTTACCATGAGTACGAGCTTCCCACAGGCCCTTTGACAAATCGCACCATGCGCGCTCGGTATATGTCGATATCGAAACCAGGCTCCTGACCCAGTTCTCGAGATGGGGAACCGCTCCTGGCATCTAAGCAACAGTTGTGTCAAGAAAAACACCGATAAGTAAAGATGAAGAAGTAAAAACAACAAAAGCTAAAAACGGAATCACACTTACGGTTCATATTCTATTTCTCGGGAAATGGCATACTCTCAGCCGGGATTAAGTCCGAGGTCTTCACTCAAACAAACCGGCTCATCCAACCCCGACCTTTATCTTCATCTATGCTCGAGGTGAACGCCTTGGTGGCCCGACGTTGAAGCTTTATCAGCCCACCTTGGTAAAGACGAGGGCTATATAATCTTACGAGGTGGTCGAGGGTAAAGGGAAGCCCGTCGATTTTGCTCACAAAGAAACGGAGCAGTATTACAATACTCCAGAGAGAAGGATGTATTTGGCCAAGGGTTACTTGGTACTTTTTGCAGAAGTCGATGATGATCGGATCGAGGGGACCCAGCGTGAAAGGATAAGTGTAAACACTCAAGTACCCTTCCACGTGGGTAGTGATCGTTTCCTCCGGTGCCAGTATCACAACCTCTTTGTTTTCCCAACCACAATATTTCTTCACCAAATCAATAAGGCTTTGGGGTATCAAGAATATATATCTCGATACCGGCTCACATCGACCGGAAACCGACGAGGGTTTCTCGACCTTAAAGTCAGAATCTATAATACATCCCCCGGGAACGAGTTCTTCGAGAAGTGGCTCCACCACCGGTTTCTCACCGGCCGGCCGAGATGAGGAAGCAGACTCTTTCTGAGGAACGGTTTAGATATCTTGGCCATCTAAATTTTCAAGAACAAAGAAGATGGGAAATTAAAATATTTTGGTGTTTGGCGAAGAAGCAAAGAAATTCTTAAAGCTGGAAATAGAGAACTTTGGAGAAGGTGAAGAACTGCGAAAGTTGGAATGAGAAGAGTTGAAGGTAAAGGTATAAAATAATGAAGAAGGGGGCTATTTATAGTTTTCGCAATGACGGTTCAAAATCAGCAGTGGCCGACCAACGTCTGACGCACATTTAATGCCTTGGTAACTGAACCGACGGGACATTTGTCACATACGTCATAGTCGAACTCGACGTAGACGTCAGTGTGTATCTAGTCAGAGGTTGAAAAATCATATCGTTTCTCGCCATATTATTTCCGAGAAACGGGGGGACTATCTGTATACGGCCAAAACCGAGTTTGCCCGTCGTATAATTAGTCAAGATTAAAATATGATGGACCGAGGGTCGAGTTCGAGTCAATATTGAGCTATGATGAGAAGTGGTGTTATCGAGCTCAAGATCCAGACCGATCAATACCGAGCTCGAGTCAGTATCAAGCTCAAGATCCAGAAACCGACCAATACCAAGACCGACCAAGATCGAGCTAAAGGACAAAGAGCCATTGTAGCCGCACTAGGGGAGAGAATCTCGGCGGAAATTAAGGAAAAGCTAACTAACTGATCTATCATGGGATCCCCACTATGTATTTTTAATTATATCCAAAGTAGGATTCCTCCACTATATGAAGAGTGGCTATCATTTCTGCAAGGGGACAGATTGAATATTCATATATCAATACACTCTCACATTTCAAAGATTATTGAGATTTACACACATATAGTAAAGATTATCCTTTTTTGGGCTTTGGACATTGATTCATCTTGTTCGTTTATAAATCATTCTCTACTCAATTTGGGTTTGTATTTTATTCCTTTTTTACAGTCAATATTCGATATATTTCTACTTATTTTTTCAATTTATACCAAGTTATATCATGTATCCTTAGAACTGCGTATAAATTCAACTCTATCCATTTTTCGGGTAAACATATTTATTACAATTTTTCCTTTTAATAATTTTTCAAAAAGCCAACTACTATCTGTGGTCGAGCCAGATTTGTCCAAGGGGTTGAAACCCCATTTATCATAAAATTATAATGTTTAGCTAGGTATAATTTTTTATTTTTATGCATATATACTATAGTATATGTTAAATCCCTTTGACTTTTTTTGTATTACTTCTTTATAGTTTGGCTCTCTTTAGTAAACTTTCTGGCTCCGCACTGAGTCTACAATGCTATTTAATTATATTCTGAAAAATGAAAGTGAAAATCGGAAGATAAGTGGCATTCTGCTTTCTATAAAAGTGCAACACCAGAAAATGGGGGAAATGACCGAAGCATGGCCTACGGTACCAAATTGGAAAGTGGACATTACCACTCCACCAGCCACAATTGGAACTATAACGGCAATAGGAAGTGAAGCGGTCAAAACTCTAAGTGCTCCTACTGCTGAAACTAGGGCTAATATGGCGAAGGTAACTCCGAACCCAATTGAAATTAGGGTTGAGAGTGACCAAGGAGATAAGGCGACAGGAGCGAGGAAGTAGCTAGATCTAAACGCGGAGGGAAAGGGAGACAAACCTTGGGAAAATCTATTTGCAGGGAATAAATTTGTTGCCCGGGGAATGAGTCTAAGCTTCATAGCCCAACGATCCACAATGGCCAAAATATTGTGGAACTTCAACAGGCAGAACTCGAGAAAGGCACTGAGAAATGGAAGACATCAATTCTCTTCTATGTTGTTGGAGATGATCCGTCAATTGGAGTTGTAGGACGATTCGTAGAAGGTCAGCGGAGATTGACACCCAAACCTAACATTTACTACCATAATTAGGGATACTTTGTCATTCAATTTAATAGTTTGGAGGATAGAGATAAGGTGATAGCATTAGGTCTACATATGATGAACAACAAACCAGTGATCATTAAGGCACGGGCTGCAGACTTTAATTTCAACAGTGAGATCCTAAAAACAATTCCCCTGAGGATCCACCAGGGAAGATATTTGAACATGAGGTACAATATGACTGGGTGTCGGAGTTTTGTAAGTCTTGCCCGCAAGATGGGCATGATTTCGCAAAAAATAAACAACCTCAAGCAAAAGAGGAGCTAAAAAAGAAGAACCAAAAGCCAAGGGAGAGGAATCAAACCAAGCAACCAAACAACCAAAGAATCAGGTGGTTGTGCAGAAACATGAGATTGGAGAGGGTATTGAGCCATCTCAACAGAATGATCCAAAGAGGATGAAGGATGGAAATAAAGAGGTCTGCAAATAAATGCACTAAGAATGTTAGTATAGCATCAAGCCGGGTGCCTATCAACAATGGATTTGGCCCTCTGTCAGAAACTAGTACACAAGCAGACATAAGGAGAGTAGATAATGAAAGGAAATGTAGCTATGATAGGAGTGAAGGAAGACCCCAATCATATAACATGCCACATGAAGGTCGTCACATGAAATGCTAGGGGAATAAATAAAGTATACAAGCAAAAGGAGTTGAAGGAGTTTTTGAAGGGGAATAAAGTAAGCTTAATAGTTATATCAGAACATATAGTTAACAGCAATAAGACTGCAAAGATTGTAAAGAAAATAGATTATGGCTGGGAATGGTGTACTAGCGGATCTGCTGCAATTAGAGATCGTATATGGATAATATGGCACCCTACTGAAGTCAAATTTACACTCATAGAGATCCATGATCAGCTCATTTATGGGATTATTCAGCCTAGACACAACAACATAGTTATTCACTTTTCAGCAGTGTATGGATTGCATATTGTCCCAGCTAGAAAAGAATTATGGAGGAAATTGAAGGAAATAGAGGAGCTAATGATCCATCCATGGTTGATAATGGGGGACTTTAACTCATTCCTAGATGTGGAGGATAGATCACATGAAAATGAGGTGCATGAATATGAAACTAGGGATTTCAGAAGATTCATATAAGTGTGTGGGGTTGCAGAACTTCAAATCACTGGGAGAACTTTTACATTGACCAATAGCCATGTTTATAGTCAAATAAATAGAGCATTAGTGAACACACGGTGGATGAATACCATGCCTCCTTTGCAAGTCCATATCAAGGATCCACACTTCTCAGACCACTCTCTATTAAGCATTGAGATTGGAGAGGACAATATCACCAGGAAGAAGCCTTTTAGATTTCTGAATTGTTTGGAAACCATCCTGAGTTTGCAGAGAAAGTGAAGAGCAGCTGGTCAATTCAAAGGCCTGCACAAGGTATAATGAGTATATGGTTAAGGCCGAAGACTGTTAAAGGAGCCCTGAAGAGGTTAAACAACAAGGAGTTTATAGGGTGGAGAACAAAATTCAGAATATTAGGGACAATCTGAAGGAATTGCAAGCACAAATGAGGGACATATTCCACTCTACATGAAAGTTTGAGGAAGAGAATGAGCTAAAGGAGCAACTTGAAAAGTGGAGTATAATAGAGAAGAACATTTACGAGCAAAAATCTACGGTCCAATGGCTCAAACTAGGCGACTCTAATTCAGCATACTTCTATGCCAACATGAAGGGGAGAAGATCACAAAACTATATAAAGCAGCTTACATCCACAACACGGAGGTTATTACAAAGGCCAGAGGAGATTCAAGAAGAGATAATTGGCTTCTACAAAAGCCTACTAGGCTCAAGCCAGAACTATTTACCTGCCATTAATCCTAACATCATGAAGGAGGGGCCAAATCTGAATAGAGCTCAACAACTTTACCTAATTAGGCCATTCACAAAAGATAAAGTGTTTCAAGCACCGGAAGGGATAGACACATTGAAAGCCCCAGGGTGTGATGGTTTTAACTCACTGTTCTTTCAGAAAACATGACACATACTCGGAGATGAGGTAACAACGGAATTACTTAGATTCTTTGAAACAACTGATATGTATAAACCTATAAATTGCACTTCAGTTACACTGATGCCTAAAGTAAAAAAACCATGCCACTATCAAGGAGTATCGACCAATCTCTTGCTGCACAACATTGTACAAAATTATTTATAAAATGATCACCAACAGATTACAACAGGTCATGGATTCCTTAGTGGATTGCAGTCAAAATACTTTTGTTCCTCGAAGGGTGATACATGACAGTGTGGTTCTAAGCCATGAAATCATTAAAGGATATGGTAGAAAAGGAGTGTCACCAAGGATTATGATCGAAGTGGACATGCAAAAGGCCTAAGACTCATTGGAATAGGTTTTTTTGGAGCAGATCTTGTCGAGTATAAACTTCCCAGAGAGGTTCATCACATGGATTAGAAGTTGCATCAGAATTGTCACCTATTCAATAGTTATGAATGGAAATCCAACACCACCATTTGATGCAAAAAAGGGGCTCAGACAGGGTGATCTTTTATCCCCTTACTTGTTTGTACTTGTCATGGAGTATCTCACTAGATTGCTCAGAACACTAAAGGGGAATCCAAATTTCAACTATCATCCTAGATGCGAAAAGCTAGGCATAATACAACTAGGTTTTGCTGATGACCTCCTCATGTTTTGCAGAGGTGATGTGGTATCAGCTAAACTACTTTTTGATTACTTGCAACAGTTTTCCAAGGCCTCAGGATTGATTGCTAACATAAACAAAAGTAGTATACACTTTGGAGGAGTGCCTGGCCATGTGCACCATGAGATAGTACAACAACTTGGCTTCTCTGTTGGTACATTACCTTTTAAGTACCTTGGAGTACCATTAAGCTCCAAAAGGTTGGTTATAGCACAGTGCCAACCTTTGATTGATAAAATGCTTGTAATAATACCAATTTGTCTGTAAAGTTTCTATCATATGCAGAGAGGTTGCAATTAATTAAAAGTGTGATAATAGCCATTCAGTCTTATTGGTCTCAGATATTCCCATTGCCTAATAAGGTCATCAACAAGATAGAAGTTGTATGTAGGACCTTTCTCTGGACGAGAAATACAAAAGTAAAAAAGAAGGATTTGGTGGCATTGTGTCTACCTAAGACAGTTGGGAGCCTGAATTTCACTGATGTCCAAGTATGGAATAGAGCTGCAATCCTGAAGTATTACTGGAACTTGTCTATAAAAATAGGACAAGTTGTGGATTAAGTGGGTACACATTTATTATGTAAAAGACAGGGATAAATCTGATTTTTTTAAAGACACATTTTAAACTATAACTATTTTTCAATTATCAATTATAAATCTGATTTTTTTTTTCCTTGTTTACCACGTAAACAAATAGAAGCAACTCTCTTTTTAACTTGTGTTTTCTTACACAAATAGTCGTCCATATTCTTTGTTTACTCTTTCTAATCGTATACATAAATTATATATTGATAATTATACATATATAATACATAATTTAGACATATATTATATCTTCACTGACTATTTTTATAATTGGATGTAAGGCTATTTGGGTCAATTCTTCTTTTAACTTTTCCGTAGTTACAAGCCTCGGTGGATAGACATCAGAAATTGACATCAGAAATTGAAGTAGGCCCATGGATCAAGCTCCTTGAGGGGAAGCAACATGTGCAAGACTCTTGACAAGGCTCTGGTAAAGTCTTTTCTTTGTGGGGCCCATGTACCTCATTAGAAGAAGCAGCTTCTTTGAGTGGACCCAAGCACTCTATTTTGTTGAATTCTTGAATGTTTGAATTGAAATAAATCCAAACTGGAGCATTTTGCAACTCTGGGTAATTTTGTAGCAGATTCCCATCTCCATGAATAAAAGCTTTTAGAACCTGATGATGCACATTTCAAATTGTTAGATAGTTTGTGTGCGAAGACGAATTCAATATTTAAAATTTATGAGTTATTATACAACTCAATATATAATAATAAATAGTTAAATATTTAATATATTTTTTTACTAATTTACATGGTTTGGACAAAAACTAAATATAGTAATAATTTGTAAAAACTTACCACAGGAAGTTCTTTGCAGAAGATATAATATCTGAGCCTAGCACACAAGTCTAACAAGAAATGACTTCCACTAATATGGCAATGGACATGAAGTGACATCTTCCCTTTAACCTTTTTCCATTCTGCAACCACTTCATCTCTGTGCAGTCTATTGTGCCACCCTTGCAACTGCAAATCAAAAAACACATTTCCTCTACTTTTCTCCCTTAATTTTCTCATACATATAATGTGTTTTTGGCATGATGGTAGTCATTTTCCAACTTATTTTCTGGAATTTTTCCGAAAATATTTTCTCATGTTTTGGTTGGACCGTAGAAAGTATTTTTTGGAAAAAATATTTATTACAGATTAATAATAATAATGTCTAATAGCATGTTTAGTCAAGTTTCTTAAAAGCTTATTTTGAAAAATACTTTTCAAAAAAATCGAAAACAACTCATCTACCTACACAAGCTAGGTCGGGGTAAGGTTTGCGTACACTTTACCTTCCCCACCTTCAAACCCTACTTTGTGGGATTACGCTACGCTGATACGCTGTGTTTGTTGTTGTTGTACTTTTCAAAAAAAGTATTAGTATTTCTCACCCTAAGTATTTTTTTTAAAAGCACTTCTGATTTTAAAAACTTGGCCAAACAGGCTATAAAACAGTGAAGTTAATAATTGTGATAATTATGAAGAGAAAAGATGAAAAATATCTATCCAAATTTCCTCAATTTGACAAAAATATTTGTGGACAGACAACCAAAACCAGAAATAACTGATTTTAATGAAGAGAATTAACTACCTGAGAGTTATTGATGGTTTGGGAGATGGTCAAAGTAAGTTTAGAAGTAAGATCACAATGAGTAAATGTATATGTTCTTGGAAGTTTTCCTGGATGATTTTCCTCATCAACTCCTGAGAAAAGAACCGTTAACTTTGACGCTTCAAATATAGCTGGTTCAAGTAACCTTGCCACCTGATAATCTTTTTAGAAAAACAAATAACTGTTAAGTCATTGTTGTTGCTTTACAAAGATGTCTAAACTTTAACTTTGAAAAGCTAAAGGAGGAGAAAAATGAAGAGTGATCAAATTACAGTGACTATGGAATTATTAATACTCTTCTTGGATCTTCTTCTTGTTCTGTAAAAATAAATAGAGCTCTGCTTTTCAGGATTTATCTTAGATGGAACCAACAGAGAAGCAGTCAAAATTCTCATCTCAAAGACTCTGAAACTGAAGCTATATCTGAGAATTAAGCAGATGTGGCTGCGCTTAATAAGCTGAATGAAGGGATATCATGTACTTATTAGTTATAATCAAGATATAGGCATATTAGAGGTACAGATATGCAATTATACATGTGATATAATACAAATAAATACAAGACTCCATACCCCTTAATGAGGGGATTTAATGCAAGTATACTAATAAAATCAAGCTAGGAGTAATACAGTCAGACTTTTCTATAACATCATCTCTATCTAATAATCATTCACTATAAAAGCCATATTTTTCTCAAAACTGATTCTTATGTTATGTTATAATATATATCCTCTATAACAACACTTTACTATAGTAGCCAAAACAATTCAGAACAAACGAGACTGTGGTAGAGGTTTGACTGTACATAAATACGGAGTGATATCTATCTAACACAAGTTAGGTGTTGCCAATAGTTGACAAAGGATCTGCATTACCAAGGCCACAGCTTTGCGGGCTAGTGTTGCCTATCTTATTGGGATAGTTTGATTACTTTGTTGTTTAACTCCTAATATAAATTGGATTTAAGTTTTTATATATATATATATATATATATATATATATATATATNATTATCAATCAATAGTTATCTGCAATTACTTGTTAAGCGATATAATCATGTAAGTATTTTTTTACACTACCAACATATAAAACATAATAATCATATTAGTCAACCATGCTGAAATAATATATTGAGGTAAAAATATATAGTAATTTAGTATCGATTAAATGATAAAAGTGATATAAAAGATATATGTTATGTATTTATTGATTCAATATAAACAACGAATGTGAGATAATTTATTTTCGAGTAGACTATCCCGCCCTAGCTTGTCTACTACCTAACCTCATTGTGGTCCTTAATTTTCGTAAGAAAAATTAGATATACCGGAACGTGATTTTTATTTGGTAAAAGATCAAGATGCAGTTATAACACTATTCAGGACAAATATAATGAGCCCATAAAGTTTGGAAGTTATAAGCTTTTAATTAATTGACCTAAAAAATCCTTCATACTACTCATCCGTTAGTTTCTGTTAATAAATACTACTTATCAGTACTTATTTTCCTTCTCCTTAATTAACGTACGTTCGAAATGCACAAATATCTTCATCCTCCAATGATCTCTTGCGCATTATTAACGAATTCAGGTTTTAAGTAGGCACTTGGATAATATTTTATTGAAGTTGGAATAAAGAGTATGTGAAAGACAGTGATTTCAATTCTCATTACTCGTCCTGAAAGGTTAAAGTAAGAATATTAATATTCTTAGCAACCCCTCAAATTCTCAAATGTCCGTCTATACACTTATTACAGTCGATTATACACATACATATATTACACATTTCTTGATTATTTTTATTTTAAGCGTGGTATTGACCCGTTTCATTTCCCATAAAAATTTTGGGGTATTCACTTTTATCCCGCGCTAGAAACTATTTACATCTGGTAGCTGAAAAAATGTATAAAATTTGTATAATTTTGGTATATAACATACAGAATGTATATATATACAAAAAATATACAAATTTTATACATTTTCGACTATTATTTTTACAGCGGCTATATGGTATCATTTTTCCTAAATTTTTTGTTAATGTTCAATGCCTAGCTCGGACAAGGTGAACTAAAGTAATACACAAATATCTCAGGCTTCTGGTCCAAGATTTTGGGTAGTGCAGAAAGACTTCTCAGGAGAGAAATGCAAAATGAAGAGAAAATGTTGGCCTAAGTTTTGATGATTTGACAAAAGAAACTCATGCATGAACCAAGTCCATACACAGTGTATATAGACACGGGCAGATTCAAGCACAAGGTATGCACTTGAAATAGATAAGCTTGAATGGTTATATCTGATATCTCCTGAACGAAAAGGTTGCATGAGGACTCCCTACTCAAGGAGAACTCTATCCTAGATAAGGGAGGAGTTAGAAGTTGAAGATAACTAGAACTCTTTCACCAAGGAAAAGTATAGTATTAGAACTCTAGTTATTTCCTATTCTACTAACTCTATATATATTAGTTTGTTCTCTTTTACAGATGACGCACAAACGCTGAAGTTAAGCAAAAATTGATAGCAAAATAGCAAGGCATTTTGCAAGCAATTCCTGTGTGATTCAAGTGTGCGAACCTGAAGCTATATGAACCAGATAAAAGAATCAGTTCCAAGTGTCTATCTTTTATTCTAGTTCAATTGTAGTAGGGATTTTTAGTTGTACCTTTCAGCTTTTTTTCTAGAATCATTTGTACTAGGTACTCCGAATATATTGTTCAAGTTAAAGTTAACTTGAAATTATGGAAACAGTCTGAGGCTGGTTGCCACAAAGGATTAGAGTTATCCTTAAGTTTACAAAAGTTTTGTAAACGTTATTTTTGGCTCAGGGATTTAGTGAAGTGTTGGGAAAAATCCTACTTGGTAGTAGATCGTGATTTTTTCACCTTTTGAGCTAGGTATTTTCCACGTAAAAATACATGTATTCTTTACTTTCTGTATTTATTATTCCGCAATTGTAGTATAAGGAACACATAGAAGAATCATATCCTTCTATAATCTATGCACGCAAAAAATTGGACACCACGCAAATCACACCCCTCTTGTGTGATATTGAAGTAGAAAACATCAGAAAAGAACCTCACTAATTTTAACATCTCCAATTTCATAGCAACGATTAATGTATAACCAACTTGTAACAATAACTCGTTAATTAACTAAGGAAATAAAGCAACGGAAGAAAAAATAAAAATAAAATAAGTGTATATACATTTCGCTAGGTAGAACTATCATTTGCATCATTTTGATGATTATTAATGCACAACTGATAAGAAAGAAAAGAAGAAAAAGATAACCATAACGACTGTAGTTTATTTGTTACTAAACTCTAGAAATTAATTACAGTGGTAAAAAGCTTGAAGTAATGCAATTATTTTCACAGTTGAGAAAAATTAATGGGAGCTTTGTCTTTGAGGAAGTCCAATAGATAGCTCTGTCTCTATTTCCATTGTTTGTCTTTGAGAGTCCTCCTCTTCTCGAGGTACTATTGTCAAAGACAACGGTAGCACCTCAATCTGAAGAATAAAAAGTTTTTTTTTACTTATTAATTATATATTCCTCTAGTCATATTGTCATATGCAGTAAATCAAACAACATATGTGAAAATCAACCCATCAATAGAGATGCAGAAAACATTGACATGTAGGCAAATATTTCAAGTAATATCTCACCCTTTTCCTCAAGTCTGCATTTTGCTTCATTAGGATTTTTTCCTGAGACAATAGAAACAGTGTACTTTAATTTGTAAACCAACTGGTTTAACAGTTCTGACTTTTATGGATATTAAATTGGCACTTACCTCTTCCTTTAGGTGAGCAATCTGTTCCCTCAGTAACAGGTTCTGAGACAAAACAAAAAGAATTTAATTAGTTATTAGCAAAAAAAAAAAAAAAAGAGTTATTACCCAAAGAACAATGTAAACATTTTTTGCGCTATCAATGTAATTTAATATGTGACAACAGTTTAGTTACCATTTTATTTTTTCAGGTTAATTTATTACTGGTTAATGCTTATAATAAAATTCTCGTGTAATAGTAATCGTACCTTATAAGTGACCTGATTGTGTAAATAATTTATACACCATCACTACATCAAACTTTAATTCAAACAAAAAAAGACGGCAGGTTCAATTATCAGATCTTCACTAGTTTATGCAACAAGTAGAAGAAAAAAGGAGAGAGAGAGAAAGACAACATATTATGCACACCTTTCTTGCCCTAATGCAGCTTAAACTTCGTTCCAACTGTTCTTCTACCTGTTGAAGTTCATCAAAGGAGGAAGAATCTAAACCTTGTCCCAAAAGCTTTCTGCAATATATAATGCACAAAGAATTAGCAGAACCATTTGCTGGTTTTATTCTGCAGCTATATTGCGCGAACTCTCCAAAATGTTACCACATCCGTGTCGGATCCTTCAAAAATACACTGCTTTTGGAGGATCCGATATGCACTCGGCTACATGTTGGAAGAGTCCGAGCAACATAGTTCTACAGTGTCCATATTGTCCTACAGTACTGAAAACTAGGAGAGAACCTTTTAGAATCTTCAAGAAACTCGAGCTTTCTAGTCATTGTTGCAACCTCCTCTTTCAAATGCTACGGAAAACACATGTGTATAAAAAAACCAAGAGACTCAGCAAAGCAGCAGTAAGGAAAAAGCATGCATGGAAATGGCATTATACAAGAGCCAAGAGGCTATCAACACACAGTTTATAAGCAAAGCTGATTATAATGAGTTATATATCTAAATTAAGGACAATGCTCTTTTATATATGTTGCGTATGATTGTTCGCTGAAAAGTTTGGGAGCCTACATATAAGGCGTAGAGATCTCTTAATGGTGCGGAGCCTTTTGAAAAAATCATGCGGGCTTGGCCCAAAGCGAATAATATATGTTAAGAGTATTATTGAACCGTTTTAGCCCAACAACTGGTATCAGAACCAAGGTTCAATGGGACGAGTATGACGATGACAAAGTGATGGTGGAGGGCTCGGTTCGCTTACCCTTACGAGCTTGGAGATGCGCACATAAAAAGAAGCTAGTAGCGGGCTTTGGTTACCATAAATACTCTAACGACGTGGATGACGCACAGTGAATCTTAGAAATTGATCTGTGGATTATGGTAATGGCCACATGGAACTAGTTCGAGGGGAAGACTCATGGATTGTAATAGTGGACCACGTGAAACTTAGTTCAAGGGAGATTGAAAGACAAAACACCGAGAATAAGCAACATAAAGCACATCAATTACACCAACGTAAATAACAAATGCAATATTTATCCAGATAGTATATAAATTTTTTGCAAGATAGTAGTTCTTAATTATTAACTACTGTTAGTTTTGTGAGACGAGAAGAAATCAGAGAAATGAGTTTGAACAGATAGTTATAACTTAAGCAGTTGACTTCTCGCATGCTGTTGTTGATTTTTTGTCACAAGAAATCCTAGTTGGTTTGTCTTGCTTTTCACCAACACTCTCTTAAATTCTTCTTAGAATGCACCTTTCTTGAATGACTTCTTCAAAGCTTGCTAGTTTAACCATGCAATTGTTAGAATTAAGTGCTTACCATTATGCCAAAAGCTATAGCGAATAACAAGGACACAACTTTATTTCTTAACTAAGCCCACCAAGCAAGTCTCATGTTCGACCATAATTCCGACCCAGGACACCTCAACCTCCTCTGTGGGCCTTGCCATAGGAAGGATGTTGGCTTTACCTAACAATCCCCTCCCAACACCTGACTTATACAGCATATTGTTCTTGGGAATCGAACTGCTTGGTAAGATCAAGCGCTTACCGTCATGTTAAAAGTTATATGTGATAGTAAGGGCGCAACTTTATTTCTTAACCAAACCCACCAAGCAAGTTCCATGTTCGATCAATCATGACTACGAATGATACCTTAACCCCCCCGGGTCTTGCCATAGGCAGAATATTGACGTCACCCAACAACAATAATTGCATGCTGCATAAATTTCAGCAGTGCATTTAATCTTTCGTGGAAACTACTTGGGCTTAAGGTTTTACAACTTTATCAAGCTTGAAGATAATAGTTGATCAAAATCATGAAGCTTTTTCAACATCATTTTCCTCATTTTAAGATTCTTCTTCAGCTATTACTAGGAGCGGAACTAGAAGTCAATGTGTTCGATCGAACCTAGTAATTTTAATTTCAAATTTGGTATTCGTATTAAATAACTTATTGGGCTAAAACGGTTCAAATATACTCTTAATTTGGTGTGATATTGTCCGCTACCAATGTAGGACTTTGTTCACACGCGCCCACAATCTCCTCCTATGGCAACTGAAGCCTGCAATTAGCTTCTTCTTGTATGCCTGAAATGTAACACCCCGTAAATTCGGCTTAGGTATGGACATGTTAAATTAGTAATGTCATATTTTAGACATGTGAAGTTCTATCGGGATGAGTATAGGTAGAAATAGTTGTTTTAGAATATAGATGGAGAGTGAGGTGCATAAGATTCGACAAAATCAACTAAGTTTACGAAAGGTTTGTCTTCCAGCAGAATTTTGTGAAACTTTGTAAGGAATTTGGGAAAATGCAAAACACAAAAGTTGTATCCTTTGAAATAGCTTTCCAACGATATATTATGAAGCCCAAACGGATCTCTGTGCAAAAGGTTATGTGCATTTTACTGGACAATGCACAGTATGCGCGCCTAGATGGTCTCGTGCGCGGCCGCGCACTTGTGGCAGTGTTACTGCCCTGCTGCGCGTTCAGGTGCGCGGGAGCACACCCGGGGGTCATTTTAAAAGCCCTACTCCATCCCTCATACCCCAAAACACAAAAACTTACTCTAGAAGGGGAAGCTCTTAATAACCTAACCTCTCCCAAGGTCCCTCCACCATCCAAGGTGAGTTCTAATAGTGATTCTAAGTTAATTTCAATTATTCAACACCTTATTAACATTGGTAAACCCTTCAAATCATTAGATATTCGATTAGGTCATCATTGTTGAGAAAAAAAAATTCTAGGACTCGAATTCAAGAGGATTGAACGTCAAAAAGGTAATATCTTCATGCTCTACTTGACTATAGTATTGGATTAATGATTATAGACTCTAGTTCATGGGATATGAGTTGATGGGTTTGACAGAAAATCATGAACGGTTATAGGTTTACGTTGTTGATTGTTGATTATTGATTATGGGTGTTGTTTATCTTATGGGTGATGAAGAATGATGTTGATTATAACCATTTGAGATTTTAGAATTTATCTAAGAGTAAGAGAATGGGTTGTTGGGTGTAGAAACACCATTAATGAGGGCTATGAAGCTTTGTACCCATAGAGTATTTGATAAAATGCCTAAGTTTTGTATTGATATAGATTAAAGATGAAAGGGTTGGTGAATGTTGCTTTACGCTCAAGAGCAAGAAGTTAAGGTATGTGAGGCTAACTCTCTATGTTTGGGAATGTTAATGATTCTCCCTACACTACGTTTTTTTTTACGACGTTACTACTTGCCTCAGAAATATAGTTAAGCCTAGTTCCTTGAATAGTTACATAATTTCTATTATCTAGCTTCATAACTCGTTCTTGACATTCATTCTGAACGTTGTGAGCTTACTGCGTAATCAATATAGACTTGGGTTTGATGCCCATGAGTCTCAGTCTAGATTACTTAGCATGTCATAAACAATTGAAGTTTCAGTTTTCATAATCAGTTCATGAATACATATCTCAGTCTAGTCATATTCAGTAATTCAGTATCATGTAACCCAGTATGGTTTAGTATTGCAGTATCATGTATTGCAGTATGATTCTCAGTTCCTTATTTTAAATCCTGAATGTTGAACATATGTATTTGGGCCTGAGGCCATAGTTTATATGCTTTATGCATATTTGGGCCTGAGACCGTAGTTTATGCTTTATGCATGTTTGGACCTGAGGCCGTAGTTTATGCTTTATGCATTTTTGGGCCTGAGGCCATAGTTTATGCTTTATGCATTTTTGGGCCTAAGGCCGTAGTTATGTATACGTATACCTGGGCGTGAGGTCGTAGCTTGTGCACATATATGTTGGGCCCGAGGACGTAGTTTATTCAAATAAATAGGTTGTTCATCATTCCGAAAATGGAGTATTCATATCTTTACTTCCTTTGTTCAGTTCAGTTATCAGATATTAGTTATCACTTCAGTTATCAGCTATCAATTTAGTTTCAGTTTCAGCATTTACAGTTTTTTCTTTCAGTTGCTTTACATATCAGTGTAATTCAAATGTACTGACGTCCCTTTCGCCCAGGGCCTGCATCTCACGATGCAAGTAACGATTTACAGGTTAACGATTCAGAACGCTAGGATTCTCGTACTAGCTATTTGGTGAGCCCCAGTTCTTTCAGGGCATTACTATTACTTTACAGTCTTTTAGTATTTACAGACAGTTAGTATTTTCAGTACTTCATTAGAGGTTTCATAGATTAGAGTAACATTTAGACAGAGTTGCATGCTTTTCATGTTAAGCAAAATTTGCCACAGATATATTCCAGAATTATAAAACGGCCCAAAGATACTTTTAGCATAGTGTTATACTATTCGCTTTGGCCAAGTTCGTACATCTTATATGTAGGCTCCTAATTTTTTCAGCTACCAATATGAAACTTTATTCACACACCCAACAAAATTTACTAAATACGTACAAAAATTAAATTTAAAACCCAATTACTAACCCATAATGTCATTGTCCTAGAATATAGAATAGTATAAATTAAAGTTCAAACCTATCTCAGCCTACTACTACTCGTCTTTCAACTTTATTTTTCCAAGTTCCAATGAGCTTCTTCGAACAACACATTTCTGTTTATGATGATTGTCTTTCTTCTTCTAACTATACAAACTATGTATAGTCTTTTAACTTCAAGCTATAGCCAACAAAAGTACATTTCTCACTTCTCTTACTCCAGGTTTCACCATATATTGTTTCAACAACAATTGCATACAATCTTTTTCCTGTTCATTACGCCTGACTTGCATACTTGCACATATATAAACACGAGGGAAAACCTTATAGTTCCCTAAGACACACTGGACTCTTGCAGGAAATGTTTAAATAGTCTAGATATATGCACATGCTAATTTTGACCCATCATTTTGAAATCCCCAAAACTACTTTTAATTAATAAAAAAGACAACACATCAAATTTAACATACAAATCTAACCCTTCCTCAGATACAACTAGAAGCTAGTGATATACAAATGCAATGTGACAAGGAGGGTGAAAATGCATGCTGTTGAGACAACATGTAAGTTGGCAACACCAACATATATTAATTAGTTTACGTAAAACATTTTGATTAGATAACGTATTTGTGTCCTAGCATAATGCAAAAATGAAAAAAGGAACAGAATGCAAAAATGAATAAGGATGCTAACCTCAGTAGTTTGTATATCAGCTATCTTTGATATGTTGAGTCCAAGATATTTGTTATTCTTCTGATATCGTTCTATGGTCTTGTTAGTACTAAAATGAAAAAATGGAAAAGGATAAGAATATGTAACTCTCCACCATGTTACCTTAACATAAGTGAGACAAAATGAGATTGTATAGTAATAAGTTGTACAAATTAGATTTACACCGGCAAGAATATTCCATCATATTGGTTAACGCCAATATCCTGCTTATGGCAAGGGCCACAAGGGACTGGGGTGGCCCCGGTCAAAGTCATGGTCGAACATGGCACTTATTTGGTGGATTTGGTTAAGAAATAAGGTTGCGCCTATGCTATCAACTATAACTTTTTGGCATGATTGTAAGCGTTTGATCTTAACAAGTGGTATCAGAGCTAAGGGCATGAGTTCGATTCCCAAGAGCAATATATTGCATGAGGCATGTGTTGGGAGGGGGATTGTTGGGTAACACCAACATCCTGCCTATCACAAGGCCCACGAGGGGGCTGGGGTGGCCCGGGTCAGAGTCATGATTGAATATGGTACTTGTTTGGGGGGCTTAGTAAGAAATAAAGTTATGCCTTTACTTTTCGCTATAGCTTTTGGCATGATGATAAGCGTTTGATCCTAATACATCATGACATGATCATTATGTTTCATTGAATTGGTTTTTCTTTACGCCTTATCTCGAGAAGAATCAGGCAATTTTTTTGATTTTGCAAATAAAAGTTAAAATCTATATGGTCTCCACAAGATTTTCAATCTACACAAAATTACCACCCTCCAAAGCATTAAGCCATATGTAATATCTAGGAGCCCGTTTGGACATAAGAATTTTTTCACTTTTTTCAGAATCAATGTTTGGCCATAAAATTTCCAATTTTCACTTGAAGATGAATTTGAAATTTTTCGAAAATTTAAAAAACTCCAAAAAGGTATTTTTCAAAATTTTCACTCAGATCACTCATAAAAATTCAAAAATAACCCAAAATTATATTCATATCCAAACACAACTCTAATTTTTAAATATCATTTTCACTTGAAAAAAAATTATTTTTTTTTGAAATTTTACAATTCTTATGTCCAAATGCCCACTAGAATACTTACTTAATAAGGTGAATAACTTCAACTCCAAAGTGAAGATATGAAATATACTCAATGATATATATATATATATATNTGGTTCAGGAAAATTCCAATTTTTTCATCAAAATTTGATTGTTGTATTTTTGTACGGTCTTGAGCAATTCTGAGTCAACTTTAGGGTTTTTAGGCCCAAATTTCATTCTCTTTAATTGATCTCCACAAACTCATCCCCGGTAATTTATCCAATATTGGACGCCTATGTTATATTATCCATGCTCCAAAAATCCAGGTCTGAGAGGTGTTAGATTGTCTCATATTGATTGAGCTACTCCAATAATCATTTCGGATTGAACGCTTAGATTCTTTACAATAGTTTAGACAAATTTGTCTTAAATGATAAATATTTTGTGTTGTAGATAAAAAAAGATAATTCTTTTATAAAGCTTCTCCCTCCAAAAGAGCAAATGAAAATCGCAAAGGAGAATCTTCAAGGTACAGCCCAAATATTATACCACCTGTTTGTGTTATAATCCTGTTTAATGTAGAATATTTTTTCAGAATTGATTAGTAGTGTTTCAATTCATAGCCTGTACTAAGAGACTCCGATAAATGGCTCCAAATCTTGTTTCAATATCAATTCTTTACTAAGTGAAGAGAAATACGCTTGGTTTGGATGGAAATTAAATAGATGTCTCACTAAATATGTCATGGCGTTGTAATCAAGCTTTTGCTAGCAAACGCAAGATGTAGTTAAGTCTCATTTTCTTTTTGTATAAGAAAACAATCTAAGCATAAAACCAGGCATTATTATTATCAGAGTTTCAAAAGCCTAAAGAGAGACTTAGAGACAAGGAAAAAGTTAGTTGAGACACGGGATGATAGGGCAAGCAGCAGACTTATCGGTACTTTTTGCTAACTCGATTTCAGTACTAAGAGTCCGCTTGGCCATAAAAAAAGATTTATTTTTTTTGATTTTTTTTTACTTTTTTTCAAAATAAGTGTTTGGCCATGAAATTTTCGATTTTCACTTGAAGGATTTTGAAATTTTTCGAAATGTTGAAAAACTCCAAAAAGCTATTTTTCAAAATTTTCACTTCAGATCACTCAAAAAAATTCAAAACCAGCCCAAAATTATATTCATGTCCAAACACAACTCTAATTTTCAAATACCATTTTCACTTGAAAAATAATTCACTTTTTTTCAAATTTTACCATTCTTATGTCCAAATGCCCACTAAAGAATACTCCTCAATGCAGTATAAGTAGAAAAGTTCGACTACAAAGAACAATGAGAATACGTTTGATTTCCACTTGTGGTTTATAAACGCCATAAAATCAATAAACATGCGTAACTTATATAGAAATTTAATTATATATTTTCTTATATGAGATAGGATGTGTAACAAGAATACGTATGTTAGTAATACAAAGACAATACTATTTCTTTACTTGACATCCTGATCTCAACATCACAATCCATTTATTACTACAATCATTCTAAAACTAGTATAATAGTTCACGATATAATAATTCTTGTATAACTTATCCGTAAACTAAACAAACTCTTTAGTACTACTAAGAATTTTTCTTCGAATGAACTTATAAAACAATACACATAAATGAAGATTTCTTAAACCTTGGAGCATCATAAAGATTCATTAGTAAGAATATGAATAATTTTGAGTCATAAAATTCTCGAAAGTGATCAGGAGAAAATCTGCTTTATTCATTTGTGGTCTATGAACTTGATATATATATATATATTTGATTGTCTGATATCACTAAGAAAAGATTGAGGAATCAAATGAAGAAAGTAAACGCAGACCTGTGGAGTAAAAGAAGCAAATATGAATGCATTACATTTTCGTACACACAGACATATTACTGAAGAGTTGGTCAGTAAAAATAGTATATTAGGTCAAGTACTCTTAACTATTTAATTATATTTGGTGAAAGAATTAAAAGGTTTAGCAGAAGTTAAAGATCCAATTCCATTCAAACTCGTGAACATATAAACAGGCAAAAGTGAGTGGGGTATTGGGACTGACGATTGTAAGTACAACTTCATTTCAAGTTTAACCTCATTTTATTGTAAAAAATAAAAAAGGTCACCACTTCTCCCAAGTACTAACATTTTGCCACAACATACATCAAAAGTTTGTTTTCTTGTTTGCTGAATTACTCCTTGTATTATACACATAATCATCTATAATTTGTACAAGATTCAGCTTTATCAAGATTATACCAATTCTAAATAATTGTTGGATGTACGGATTACTTAAATCATTCAAAGAATTAAAGATTGTATTAGCAATACTATGGCTTTCTAATTCTTGTTCACTGTGAGTACTAATGAAGTCACCAAGAGAAAATTTTCCTTTTCTCCTCTAATTATCTGGTATAAAACTAAGCACTACTGGAGAATCAAGAGAAGTTAATAACAAACCAAATAAGGCAGAAAAACAAGGGACCCTTTAGGACAGATAAAGCAGGTGATCATTGTACTTGGTACTTGTTACATTTAATGTAATTGTCTGAATAATGTATATATAAATCCTAAAGAGTTATATATATAAGTTGGTTAAATAAAGATTCTAGTTCTAGCTATATATATACATACAATTATGATAAAAGTAGTGAAAAAACAAGAAGATGAAGATATAATAATTAATTATGTGTACCTGGAGCTTGAGAATTCATAAAGCTTTCCTTTTGGAGAGAAAACAACAAGGGCAACTTCTGCATCACATAGAACTGAAAGTTCAAATGCTTTCTTAAGAAGCCCACTTCTTCTTTTTGAGAAGGTCACTTGCCTACTTGTTGCATTTTCAATCCTTTTCAGCTCAGTTTTTCCTCTCACCATTATTCACCTTGTATTTTTCACTTTTTAATACTTCTTCTTCTTCTCAAAAAGCTCGATCGGGTGGAAGAAGAATAAATATGAAAGGAAAAAAACTAGTGAAAATTGCAGATATTTTAAAATGTTAGAGGGTATCAACTTTCAGATTAAATACAAAATAATATTCAAGAAATCCTAGCATCCCATGAGAAATTTCTGCAAATTAAAAGAAAGGTTCCTTTTTTTTTTTTTTTTTTTTTTTTTTTTTGCAGAAGATAAGAATTGATTTATACAACAGGAAGAAAACAAGACAACAATCTATTAATGGGTGTTTCAGATCTGAAAAATGGAAGAAGAAAAATAAAGAAAGGAAATTTGGTAAGTAAGACTCAAAGGGAAAGGATCAGAAACCCTAAGAAGACAAAGATGAGGACATCTTTTTTCTGTTTTTCTATTTTTATCTTATGCCTTTCGAGTTCACAGCCACTAGAGAGAGGATATAAATAGAGAAATGATTAAGGAAAGACTTGTAAGAACGAAAACCTCATCTCTTTTCTTCTTTTAGTAAACTTGTAAGAAGCACTAAATTAGACAAACAGATGCCCCCAAAAAAAAAAAAAAACTAATACTAGTGTAGTACATATATGGTAAGCTCAGGCAAACAAGTGGGGGAATTATTAATTTTGTATTTTTAATAGAGAACAGTATAGATACCATTGACGGCACATTAGCCTTCATTCTAACCTATCATACCACGAATATAAAGAATAATTAATCTCGCGATTAAATTTGAGATGAGTTTATTTCACGTTTGGTTGAGATAAAATTATAATATATATAACTAATCCGAGGATTAGTTATCCTGGGATTGTAGTATTTTTTTATCCCTATGAGATGGTAGGATAACTAATCCCGAGATAACTTATCCCGAAATAATTAATCATGAAATAACTTGTTTCCCAACCAAACGGCCCCTTAGTAAATTGACGTGTAATATGGATTGGGAATATTATTTTTTGTACATCGATAGTGTGCTAATACGAGTATTGTTTTAACTATTAAGTTATTTTTCTTTTATAACTATCTGGTATTTGAAATTTTGCTAATCGATTTTTTCACAATAGCATCATGTCTAAAGGTGAAATGACTACCTACTATAGGTTTTCAATTCGTAGAGTTCGAAATCGGGACCTTTAGTTAAAAAATTTATTCATGTCACCACTAGGAGCGTATGTAGCATGTAGGTGACGAGTTCACAGAACCTATAACTTTTGATTCGAAGCATAAATTTATGTGTAATAATCTAATAAAATTGCAACAAATATTATATATGAATCCATAGCTTTAAGAATATAATGGGTTCAATGCTAAATATCTTAAACGTTGAAACCACAAAGTTTAAATCCTGGATCCAGCTCCGGTTCCGCTCACCACACCTTTAATAGTTATTATTAAATTACTTACAATAACATGCAATTTGTTATTATAATTTTTTATTTCACAATACAGAAAATATTATAACATGTTAAATTGTGGTGTTAAAACATATAGTACAGGCTATCAGTATGTATAATTTGAGTCCATAGGAGAAAAAACCCTGAATTGGAGTTCCTTTTTATATTTAATTTCCTTTCATAAAGAAAATTAAAATATTTTATTTATAATTTCACTCATATATTGCACATCAAATTTTATACTAGTACTTCCAAATCTAAATGCCATAAACTCTTTTTTTGTTCTTTTTTAACGAATAAAATTAGGTGGTTGTATCATGTATTACCATATCAGGAAACATTTTTTAAACAAATTGCAGGGGTAACATCACGTTAAAATAATGATTTTGTGTTATAAGATCCTCCGAAGTTTATTTTTATTTTTGCACTGCTAGCACTTATATCTATTTTCGGCTAAGATAAGCACTGCAATATAAAATGTTTACCTCAACGAGTGGAATTTAAGATATTAGGAAAAGATCATCTCAATATCGTTTATAATTAAAACACTAATATAGAAAATGTATAATCGTCAGGTTTATTTTTAAAAAATAAGTTTTTGAAATATATGAGTTAAACATTCGATATATTTTGGCGTGAAAATTAGTACTACATGAGAAATGTTGGTGCCAAGCAAGAACCAAAGGGACTTAGATACATCATTGTTTCAAAATATTTTAAATCTCTGATGCCATTTTCACTCTTTTTTTTCTCCTTTTTTTCTTAACTTTCACTAAGGTTTTACAATTCAAATCAATTTCCCCCTCCAATTTTATGTCAATAAATAACTCATGGATATTTTTGATAGCTTAAGGATCTATCAAGAAAAAACTCTTTTGTTTTACCTTCTCATTTTTGTAACTGCATTGAGACATTGTTCTCTAGAACAGTTAAAGCTATGTAATAGTTACTCCATCTGTCCCATTTTATATAATAATGTTTGACAAAACATAACAATAACAACAAAGTAAGTATAATCTCACAAGTTGGTCTGGGGTACAGTGTACGTAGACCTTACCCCTAACTTGTGAGCGTAGAGAGGTTGTTTTAAGTGAATTCTCGGATCAAGGAATGTTTGACAACATATGGAGTTTAAAAATAAAAGAAAGACTTCTAAAACAAGTATTTTAAAATAAGTCATAGTTATTTGTATTGTTATAAATTATCTAAATTATCTTATTAAGAGTAAAATAAAATAAAAAATAAAAAAAATTATTTCTAAATATAGAAAAGTATGAATTTGTTAGGATGGGCTAATAAAGAAAAGTATCACATAAATTGACGTAGAAAAAGTAATTTTTATTAATAATATTTCTATGTCACCAAGAAAAAAGAGAAAATATCTATAGTAGTATAAAGTTAGAGGAGAAATCTGTTTTTTTTCTTTAAAGTCAAAGTTAAAATGATAAAAACGATTTGCACCTGAAAAAGGAAAGAAAGAGGATAATAAGAATAATATATGGATAGCATTAAACACATATCACACCTTTTTTAGGTTTAGAGTTGCCTAAAAAAGATTTTGGCACACAGTCTATGACCTATGTCCACAGCAGAGTTCAATATAGTTTGTCCGTACAACCATTTTTAGAACGTCAACATCGGTCCGTACGAGGGTCCAATGTCATTATCCATTCAGAAAGCGCCACGTAGTATTCATTAACGCTGCTTCACGTGGCTCGTCCTTCTGTGTGGCGTGTTTTGGTGGTTTGAACTATTAACTATTTCCCCTTTTTTAATTCTATTCTTCTTTTGTTGGCCGTCCTTTTTTCTATTTCTTTATTTCTAGGTGGTCCAAACATTTAATACAAAAATTTACAAGAGTCCCTATTCGGTTGAAGATAAGTGATATGAATAAACTCGTACAAGTTTGAGTGGATACGAGACTATTTTGTCAACTTTTTATATGTATTAAAAAATTTATTAAAATTATATTTAACCAGTTACTGGACTTGAGCTAGTTGACCTAAGATATAGAATCATAAAGATGAAATCGTGTATCCACTTCACTAATACTGGCCCAATATAATAGCATTAGGGATTCTCTATTGAATTTGGTCAATAAAGAACTCCCTGTAAAAGATAATTTTATTTTTCGAACTCAAACTCGAAACCTTTAATTAAAGATGGAGGGATACTTACTATCCCACTACGACTATTGGTGGTAGCTTTAATGGTTCAATTTATGCTGTATAATTGTGATTATGAAATACCAGTTGACTACAGGGCCCCGCCCAGCCCAGATTTTAGGCCCACAATTAGCAGATTTCCAGATTGTGGAGACTGGGAATTTAAAAAGATGAGAGATTGATGGACTTTCAGTTTCAATAGTTGTCATTGGGCCCCAATGCTAATGTCCGACAGCTGCTACTCAGCTAGCCCATGAACTCGTGTTCCTGCTTTTAACAGCAAGACACTTTCTAAATATCCACTTTCTTACAATACATAGGCTTGTTAAGAGCTAAAGTTCAATGGGACATGGCCGAGCTTTCATCTTCATCTCTAATACTGCAACTTGTTTCATAATCATTTGGTATTTAGTATTTGGTATCTACTAGTCCGACAAATTTAGATTCATACCGTGTAGGACTTTATAAAGGTAGAAGTGCTCCTTACTAGGGGTTTTTCCATTTTCAAGACTAGAATTCGAGACTTCTAATTAAAGAAAGAAACGTCACATTCATCGAATCACAATCTTTGATAACGATTCAATGTTAAACCTTGGTGTTTGTGTGGTGATTTAATTCCTGTCGAAGTGTGAGTTTGTATAGTCTCTATTAGTGAAACATAGAAGGTATCCATTTGCATCGGTTGGTGTTGTGTTATTGTTGTATATATCTCCCTAACTCTATGATTCAAAAAATTGATATTTTAGATATTGTATTGACCATATGTGACGACTCGGAATTCCCTCATTCGGAACCATGATGGCACCTAACATTTCACTCGCTAGACAAGCCAACGTTAGAGAAATTCTTAAATCAATTTCTTAGAACAGATCAAATAAATAAACCAATTAAACTGAGATGAAACTAAAATGAAGTACGAAGTAGCATAATAACCAACATATCTAGATACAACCCGGATCTGGAGTCACAAGTACACGAGCTTCTAAAGATTCTACAAATAGAGTCTGAAATAAACACAACTGTTTCGAATGAAATGAACAGTAAATAAGGAAGGAGGAAGGGGACTTCAAGGTCTGCGGACGCCAGCAGATCTATCTCGAATCTCCAAATATGTCAATCCGAGCTAATGCACCTCATGTACAACTGGGACCAGTACCAAAGTTTGCACAAAAAGTGCAGAGGGTAGTATGAGTACAACCGACCTAATGTACTCCGTAAGTGTCGAGTCTAACCTCGACGAGGTAGTGACGAGGATATGACAGGACACCCAGGTAAATAAACTCTTACAAACGAAGATATACGTGCAACATAACAACAAATAGAGATTAAACATGTACGATTGGGAGGGAACATGGTAAAGGGAGTACAAGATACGGTAACTACAACCGGAAACATGAGACAGTCAAATAAACCATCAACCAATGAAAACGGATAAACATAATGAATAAAGGTGGCACGGTATCACCCATCGTGCTTTTACTCTCAACCTCACCATGAAATAATGATAATGGCACATCATCACCCTTCATGCTTTTACTTTCAACCTCACCATGAAATAATGATAATGGCACATCATCACCCTTCATGCTTTTACTTTCAACCTCACCATGAAATAATAATAATAATGGCATGGTATCACCCTTCGTGCTTTTACTTTCAACCTCACCATGAAAAAATATAATGGCACGACATCACCCTTTGTGCTTTTACTTTTAATCTCTCTAAAAAATGATAAATACGGCACGACATTACCCTTCATGCTTTAACTCTCTTTCTCACTATCTATTAGTCAGTAAATTAAGCAAAAAATGGCACGGCATCACCATTCGTACTTTAACACTCTCCCTTACCATGTAGCAATGAATATAAATATTTGGGAGATAGAATAAGCAAGAATAAACTTTACGTCAACAATGGTTCCAAAATACCGAACCTCAACTTCCAAAAAAAATACTCAATCATCACAAATAGTTCATAAA